GGGGGGGGGGGGCGCACAGTGTTGATCACTGCAGCACTGGAAAGGCAGAGACAGATGAATCTGTTTAAGATCTACCGAGTGATAACACAGAGAAGCCCTGTCTAAAAAACAAACAAACAAACAGAAAGAGCAAGAGCAATCCCCACAAATACAAACAAAAACAAAAAGTTTAAAATCACTGGGTTTGTATGTTATCTCATTCAAATTTAGCTGTGTCTTGAAGAATATCTGTGGTTCCCAGATTTGACTTACTTTTCTGTGTGTCTGTGGATGTTGTTTGTGGCTAATGGGAATCGAACTCAGGTCCTCAGGCTTGATAGCAAGTCCTTTTACCCACTGAGCCATTTCTGTGGGCTGGTGGTTCTCAGACTTCCAATCGAGACAGTGAGCATCCTCTTTCTCTCACAGCCTTATAAGTTCTAAATCTTGTTCAGTCTCTGAATTCTGCTAAAATTAGTGTATCTGGCTTCTTTTAAGCAGTCACAGAAACACTTATTTTCACTAAAACACAACAACTAGTTCAGCTATACTTAATTCCTTTTTCGCTTAAGCTCTGCACTAACATTTTTCTTCAGAATTTTAAAATAGTAAATGAAAGAAACCACTTGAGAACTATGACCACATCACAGATCCCCAATCCAAATATTGACCTTCAACAGGAACTGTTAACGGAGCCTCCCAACCCGGCCTCTGTCCACGCTGTTACCTTGTAAGCTTTCAAATGGGGCTGGGTTAGCCTTTTGCAGCGCTAGGCTGCGGTGTGATGTACAAACAGTACATCAGTAACTACACCTCTGTGCTTTACCCAGACCTGCAGCTGTCATCTTTCCAGGCTCTAACATCGGAGGATTCAAACACACCCCACCCATATTCAAGCCAGATGGATGGATGGATAGCCGTGGGAGGTGAGAAAAGTGCTGGGGACCCAAGGAGGAGTCAAGTTACTAGATGATCAGCGCAGTTAGCAATAATAAGGTTTTGGTAAATGATCTCCCTCTGGAGCTGACTTCTCCTGTTGCCCCTTTACCTTAAGCTGTGCTGGACAGGGAGGTACCAACCAACAGATGAAGGGAGGGCTAAAAAATGACCAGTGCTTTGGGCATAGGATCAGGCCGACCTTCAAAACCTCAGCTGTTCCTAGTGACTGCTCTCTTGGCACTTTGGACCTGTTTACATGCAGAGCAGGTAAAATCTGGATAGGTCAAACATCCACCAACTCTCACAGCACTTCTGCTTTTGGTTTTAGTTTTTTGTTGTTTTTAATTCCTATTCTCTACAACATACTATGATATTTATCCAACATACTACACACACTGTATACAAAATACTATGGTATATATACTGTGGTGCTAAGGGACAAGCCGAGGGCCTTGTACTTAACAAGCCAAGTACATTACTGAGCTACAACCCTGCCCAGTACTTATTAATGAAAACTGTCAGATATATTGGAATATATGATTATTGAATATTCATGTACATTCTTATTTTTCTTTTAAAGACTTTTTTCTTGTTTTTATTTTTCAAGGTGGGGTTTCTCTGTGTAGGCTTGGCTGTCCTGGACTCGATTTGTAGTCCAGGTTGGCCTTGAACCCAGTGATCTGCCTGCCTCTGCCTCCCAGAGTACTGGGATTACAGGCGTGCACCACCAAGCCCGGCTGAAGATTTTTTTCAAGTCTGCTTAAACATTAATAATGTTCTATATTCCTGCTATTAGATTTTTAAATATTTTCAATTTTTACTATTCTTTCCCTTGTGTGTGCGTGTGTACATGCATGGAGGTCCAAGCACAACATACAAGACTTAGTTCTTTCCATCATGTGGGCTCTGGGGATCAAATCCAGATAGTGACGCTTGGGGAAAAGTGTACTTCTTGGTAAGGCATGCGACAGCCAAGTTTTTATGTTCAATTAGTGTGTGTGTGTGTGTGTGTGTGTGTGTGTGTGAATGCTGGTGCACACTTGGCCAAGCAGCACCTGTGAAAACCACCTTGTTGAGGCAGGATCTCTCTTTCAGTCGCCACAGAACATACTCCTGTCCTGAGAGCTTCCTGGTGATTCCCCCATCTGACTGTAGGAGTGCCGGGATCAGAGATGCATGCCACCATGTCCAGCATTCTTACTGGGTTCTAGGCCCGAACCTGGGTCATTAAGTTTACACAGCCTGCACCTTTAGATTGCTGAGTCATCTCCCTTAGCCACTATTAAAAAACACTTTTTATTTTCATGTTTTGAACCATCCGAGTCTTCCTATTGGCTTGCATTGCCTGTTGCTTGTTCTGAGTGTCCCTTTCTGGTCATTATTTTGCTGGCGCTAAGAACTGACCCAAAGGCCCCAAATACACTAGGCTCAGCTCCCATTAACTTAAACTTTTGAGACAGAATCTCAATGTGTTGACTACACTGGCCTCAAGCTCACAGGCCTCCTGCCTCAGCCCCCAGAATGCCAGGATTACAGACAGCTGCGTACCACTGTACCTGGCTGAATTCTCCTTTAAGAGTTATTTTCTCTGGGACGTGAAACAGCCATGATATACCCTGTCAAGATTAGATTGTTTGCGTATTTTTAAATAAAGTTGTAAAATGACGAGGAGGGTTTCGGAATCTTATCCATAGCTCTATTAGTGAGGTCTTTTACACAGCGCCGTCAACCACAGACTTTTAGATTTTATCAGCATTTTCCTATTTGTGGTCTCAGGCTTCTACCTAGAATTCCATGTTTTTCTTAGGTTCCCAGTGTTCTCAGTTCTTCTGCTGTCTTGAGTTGCCAGGGAGTTTTGTTTTCTTCTGTTTCAAAAACAACCCCTGGTTGACTCTATTTGTTCTCTTTTCAAGGTGGAATGAGCTTTGCTCTTCTTATTTGCCTGTTTAAACTAGTGTCCTATTCTTTTCATTCTGCCTGCATCTGCTTAGAGGATGCCTCGGCTGAGCCTCTGGGCAGCAGTAAAGTGGGCATGGCAATGGTGCCATGCCCACACTGGGTGTTCTCAGCAGGCACTCAAAATTCAGAGAACAAAGGTCAGGGGAGGGGGTGTTAACCTTATTTGACAAACTACAATTGTGTTGCAAAGGAATAAACCAGAAAGTATCACTTCGACACCAATTCGTAGCATTTATTGACATTTCCATTTAAAATGCTAGGAAAGCTGTAAAAATTGTAAACATGGAAACCAAACACTTGCATAAATTATTTCCAAACTCTACAGCACATTAGAAAACAGTGCAGCTAATTGAAGGGTAGAAACATAACTGACAAACAGAAGGGCGGGCTCAGTCGCTAAATCACACACCACACTGAGTTTTAAGTGCCCGTTTGAGATCAGCAGACCGTGATTGTCAAGTTGCAGTCTTGATGCCACAATTGGCCCAATTTACTCTGCAGTTTTGTATATTAACACGCATTATCTACCATGAGGGTGCAGAAAGTCAGAACACGCACCTCAACCAAGTCGACATCCGGAGCAGCATGGTAGAGCAAGCTTCCCTGAGAATGCTAGCTCTTGTCTCTGGCTCCTCTCTACTCCACAGGGAGCTGTTCAGAGAGGCCAGGAAAACCCACCGCTGTTGTTTCTGAACCAACTCCCTGGTGCTCAGAACGCCTGAACTAATGACCAGAAACCTTGGTTCCTCTGGAACTTCCTGCTTTTTTCCTTACAACATCAGCAGAACTTTAAAGACTGGCCTTAGCCAGATTCCCAAACTGCGTATTTGGGAATCCTGAGTACTTGAAATCTTGTGGGCATAAGAAAGGATATCAGTGATGCTCTAAGTAATCACTGAAGTGGCCCCAAAGCAGGAAAACCCAGGCACAAAGCAGGGAGCCTGTATCGTGACCTGCCTTGTGGGACTCCGACCTGGGAGGAGCAGATCAGAGGCAGACACATTCACTGCTCCTCTTGTGTCCTGGCTGGTTTTTAACCGATTCGTGTTCCCAAAGGCATTTACTATTTTTTTTTTCTACACTTCAATGCTGCTGTGTGTTCTTAAGATAATTCTTGAGTGTCCTATTACACACACAGGCATGAATTAACACTATACCATGACGGTTCAGTTTTCAAGTCTTTAATCCGGACAAAAGAATTCTAGTTTAAACACCCACAATTACCACCCCAGCCCCTCCCCCACAAAATAAACCACCTGAAATGTGCACCATTCTTGTTTACTAGGTGACGAGTGTAAGCCTATATATTTCATGAGAATGTTACAACAGAGGCCCACAAAAACCCTCTCACCTGTTCCAGGAACGCCTGTAATGGGCTGGACTAAATGACAAGGCTGAATGGACTGTCCCATACAGGCATGTTTGTGCTCACGGTTGGAGAAGCAGACTTCCTCATACTCCTGCCTGGATTAGATGTGGACGAGCAGGCTCTGGTGACTTACTTCAGAGGTAGAAAAGACATGGCGAGAACTCCACTCAGAAGCACCCTGCCCTGTGCCCAGAACCTTGACCCAACTCCTTCTAAGTGTGCAGTTTATTCCCATCTAAGAATCCAGGATGAAGAGGCCAAGGGAAGCCCAAGGAATGATTAACTCACAAAATCCTGCCAAAACAGTCCTGGGGGCTGGCTTGGTTATAGAGTACTCACCAAGACCTGAAACTGCAGTGAACACTCTCTGTACAAGAATGCAGCGAATTACTGGTTTCAGCCTGAAACCTTCCAGGCATATTTGCACCTATGCTTTGGGTCACTGAACTCATGCCTTCAAAATTTCAACTTTGCAAAATCCTACTGCTTAAAAGCCATGTGCTTTCAGAATCTCAATGTTCACGCTCTGAAATGAAAAAAAAAAAAAAAAAAAAACTGGAGGAAAGCATGGACGTGCACATAAAGAAGCCACAACCTGCTGAAGACCACAAAGGTCCCACCTCAACACCACTGACTTACTTGAGAGCAGACAGCGGCAGTCCTTGGTCTCTGACCTCCCTTCCCCCACACTGGGGCTCTTCCTAGGCAGATCCTCACCAGCCTGACATCTGCTTGCTGCATTACTGGACATGTTTCCTTCCAACACTACTTCCTCTCTTTGGATCGAGGGTTCCCTTTCAGTGACAGAGTACACAATTCCTAACCCTTTCCCAGGATAACTGTGAGGGTCAGCCCTTGCTGTATCACCACTGGCTTGAGTAACATCACAGTGGCTTCTCCTGTAAAATCTCATCTATCCCAAACACACAACTTCTGTGACTTCTGAATATCCAACACACCCGTGTCCTTCGCATTTTATGGCTACCTAAGACACCTTGCTTATCTACAGCTTCCATCTTTTTACGCCTGTCTGTACTAGCCAGCTTAGATTCTAAGATCTCTTGGAAGACAAGGCTTGTGTCTGGTGACCTATTTAGTGTTAGAAACTGCAGAAAGTCAGGAGCAAAAACAATGCTTCACGGGTGACCTTTGACGCTGACAAAGGAAGTGGTAAGTCTGAAGCAAACAGCAGTAGCAGCAGTCATGCTGGGCATTCAGTTTTGTTCTGATAACCTACCTGTGACCCCAGACACTGGCAGATCACAGCACAGCACATTATCCATGTCACAACATTCACACAAACGACCTCTTACATGTTCACAGTGACTGAGTCTCCTCCTCCAGGGTGTCTGCAAGCAGACCACACTTGATTTTTAGAAGCAAAGATCCTATGAGGTGTGTGTGTTGGGGGGTGGGGGGATATGGTCTTGTTGATAACAAGAATGACATACAGAAGGAACTGGACACAAGAAATTAGCAACTACGGAGACCGAAAAAAAAAAGCACTTCTCCAAGCACTCTGTCCTAAAATTCTGACTCAAGTTTTGCAGTTTGTGTTTCTCAAAGGACCTCCTAAGATTAGGAGAAAAGGACAGGCATTAAACTTTTCATTTTGGGGTGCTTTAGTATGTGGAACACCAAAGTTACACACGTTGAGCAGGACCTTTTTCAGGGGAGCACACTGGATGACTGACTGGACGCCTGCTGGACATGGCCTATCCCACAGCAGTTTCAGTGTGGTACACCTGCTGTGCAGGGTGTTTAGGGGAAAGGAGTGCAAACCGAGTGTGCTTTAAGTAACCAACAACTGAGCACTGACGCTCCCAAAGGGCCCGAGTGCAAACTACACCCTACCTTTGGTTGTGACACCTGTTTAAAGGTGTATGGGTGTATCTCTTCTAAGAGTAAAAATACAGGTAGAATCCCTTTATGACAATTTCAAAGGCATCGAAATTGCTGTTGTCGTCACATCCTCTGACACCGAGACTCATTTTGGCAGAGTACAAAGGAGGTGATCATTTTTTAGGACACTCTATCTCCAAAAACACTCATGACACGGGCTGAGAAAGGGCCATTTATTCTGTGTGTTTTATGACTTGGATCTCTCACACAGTGTCACACTAAAATTCTGCCTGGATATTTGAGACTTGGTTGTTTGAGTGGCTTGGAAAGAAGATTTTCCAGCTTAGGAAGGTAAGTATTAAATCAAGACTAACAAATAAGCCCAGAGAGGGGCCTCTTCCTGCGTGCTCTACAGAGTGCCTGCGGGTCCCCCCGCCCCTCCCCGTACACCTTCTCAGCTGGAGTGTACACGGAAGTGCTGGCTGCACCAGTTTCCAGTGTCCTTGTGTCCTGAGACTGACTGAGAAGGGCAGAACCAATACTGCAGCCATGACTACAGTCTGGGTGCTTGTGTAGCTGTTCCCAAGTTCGTGAAACTTAAGCCGAGCTCCCTAAACTCTACCCCATCATCTGCTGTTCAATCAAAAGTATTCATTCATCTAATAAAGAGGCTTAAGACTCCCGTTAGCCTGCAATTTCCCGGAGTTTCATTCAGGCATCAGAGTACAGAATGACATGGAGTCAGAGGCTGAGCAATGTGACTTCAGAAGTGCACTGTGAGATGACCGCTCTCTGGCCTAAAGTGAATGAGACAGTTTTCAGACAAAGAAATAATAGCAAAATAAAAAATGGGGGAAACTCTCATTTCCTTTGTTGTCTCAAAACTCTGTGTTTGTTCAGTTGTCAGAGGATGACAGGAACAAAGGTCCACTGCCAGCCTGGAACTCAGGGAACCTGACTCTACTGGGTACATTCAGGGCAACTGGGTGGTCCTAACAACCATCAAAGAGAATGTCTGCTTCCCCAAGACACCTCATTCAAATACAACCTGTGAGCAAATTGTCAGTGAAGTACAAGGACCTGGCAGTTAGGACCTCCCAACAGCTTCCTTCTATAGGATGGACCTCACTGAGACGCAGTGACATGTCACCAACAGTTGGGTGAGCCCAACAAATAAACAGCAAATACAACTAAGACTGGAAATCTTAAAGTCTGATATGTATTTTGAATAAGCAAATAAATACTAAGCTTCCCCCTCCTCAGTGCAGGAGTTTTTTTTTTTCTTCCCCCCACCCAGAACACAATAAAACCGCCAACATACTCTTCTACTGCAAAAGCCACGGTTGTATTCACAGGCAGAAAGGTGAAGGGCCCTCAGAGCTGTAGCACCAGAAGAAGGAGAAAGAACGCAGGCGATGGCTTTGTTTGAAATCACCAGGCTCCACAACCTACCATTAGGTTTCTCACTAGTAGCTCTTTAAGATTACCAAACAGTCCCAGGATGTTGTGTTAATATTACTATTAAAATAAGTTCCTATGAAGGAAAAGAGGGATCAAGCTGTTACTAAAATGTCTTGAAATCTCTCTTCTCAGGAAACAGCAGTGGGGTGTTGCGCGTGCCAGTCAGGTTCCCAAGGAAGTGCTGCCCCATCCATCCCTAACCATCTATAGGTTTTAACCTCTTGCCTTTGAAAGAGAAAACTAACTTAGCATTTTTGTTAGCTTAGGTTTGTGTTTTGGTTTGTGTGTGTGTGTGTGTGTGTGTGTGTGAAGTGCTGGCTTTTGGCCTGAAGTACACACATTTTGACTGAACCAAAGTGGTCACCAAATCGCCAAGCCAGTAAAAGTCCCATGAGTTGTCTGTGTGACTTTACGGCATCCTCTAAAATTGCAACTTGTTCTCTTCCTTGGGCAGCTTGCCCGGAGATGCTGCTTCCGGCTCTTGCAGACACCCACTCAGTTGATTTCCTTTTGGTCTTGCTTCCACAGGAAGCAGATACTTGGCAAACCTGCAAGGGAGGCTGATCAGCTGTGGAAGCTCTGTACTGAGCCCTGTTTCTGAGAGAGCCGCAGGAGCTCCTCTCGGATCGCTTTGATGAGGGAGGCAGAGGAGTGGCCAGGCTGCAGGTCCTCTGTGGAGCTGGTGGGGTAGCCCAGCCCCGGGCCCTGCAGCCCTCGGTGGGTGACGTTCCCTGGAGGGGCTGAGGGCTCCCTGCCCGAAGTCCTTGGCACCTGAAACAGCGGTGAAGAAGAATACTCTTGATGTCCAAGCATGTGGGTCTGAAAGACACGGTAAACATTATTACACTTCCCACGTGAGAACAAGAGAAAGAGCAAATTCACACTGGCCTGGGCACACCAAGTTGTCCACCACCAATCTCCTGCCAACTCCCTCTGTTCTCTATGTGGACCCTGCCACCCGAGTCCCTTTGTGCTGGGTGTAGGGTGAGTGCAGGAGCTGCTCCAGGCGTCTGGTTCATAGGGAGAACAGAGAGAGCGCCAGGAGCTGAAAAGGACAAGTGGGGGACATGTAAGATGATATCCCAAAGTGGAGGCAGTGAAGGAACCTGACCAAGGGCATGGTGAGAACCCGTCTCTATTCTGGTGCCCAGGAAGTATACATAAGGACACACTGGGGCTTCAGGCCAAAGCTGATCACGAAGTCACTTTCCACTTCTTCTGTTTTTGAGTCAAGGTGACCCTATCCTTAGAACTCATCATCCTACCTTCACTAACTACTAAGATTTCAGGAGGGTTCTCCATGCCCAGCCTCATATTCCATCTTTTCCATCAAGCACTTTTTAGAGCCTTTTTAGAAAGGAGGCTATTTTTACTAGAAGATATTAGTTCTTCCAAAATTGGCAGACTGTGAATTGATTTGGCATTATTTTTGGCAAGAATGATTCCATTTTCCAGTTTCGTTTTGTTTTTTGTAAAAAAAAAAAAAAAAAAAAAAATCTCTGGTCAGTGAACTAAATCAGTATGTAGTTTAGTATGCTAAATCACAGGCCAGTGTACTAAATTACAGGTCAATTTCTAAACCACTGTACAGCTCTAAACGTGAGGCAAACATAGCCTCCTGGCTCCAGCTTCCCCACAGAGTGATGAAGAAACTCTTCCAAGTGACCACTGCTGGATTTAGTAGAAAGCCCACACTACTTCACAATACTTCGTGAAATGAAGCGGTCACATTAACAACAGAAAATTCATCATTACACTTTAAGCAGACCTCTTAGATTGTAAGCCTACAAACAATCATACTCTTATAGTTCAATTTCCTTTCACTAAATGAAAGTTTCCAATTGTGAAGTCAGAGTGTGATCCAAGTATGGCCACTGAGAGGGTAAGAAGTTGGAACACAACAATGAGATTTTTAAAAAGGCATGTTTGGGTTCACAGTCTCAAAATAACCCAAGATAGAAAAGTCTTTAAAAAAAAAAAGCTACTTTCTTTTCTTTTGTGTTTGCATGTGCGTGTGCACCTGCATGTGGGTGTGCGTGTGTACATTTCCATGTTAATGAGTTCCCACTGAGGCCAGAAGAGGACATCAGATCCACTGCAGCTGAAGTTCCTAGTATTTGAGAGCCACTGGACATGGGTTCTAGAATTCAAACTCTGGTCCTCATGATTGAGCAGCAAGTGCTGAACCATCTCTCTGGCCACATAAATTTCTTGAAAATATCAGAAAAGTCCTTGCAGAGATGAATGGTGCTCATGCTGAGTAGCTAGAAACCCAGAGAACCACAGATGGCTTGGGATGCCCTAGGTGTTATCATCCACAAGCCAGTAAGGACACAGAAAAGGTAAGGCCGTGAACAGCTACAGTGGTCACAGCAAAGAAGCAGTCTGGATTTTATTCAGATCTGTAACTTGAAGCCTGCCTCAAGGAGAATCAGTCATTCCAAAAGTGGGAGTTTACCAAACTGCAAGCACAACCAAGCCAAGGCAAGAGGAATGGGAAAAGGAAGCCCTGTTTAGCATAGCTTTTAAACAGTGTCAAAGGCAGTCAGGCCTCGTGGCATATGTCTTTGATTCAATACTGGGGAGGCAGAGGCAGGTGTATCGCTGTGAGTTCAAGGCCAGCCTTGTCTACAGAGTGAGTTCCAGGACAGCCAGGGCTACAGAGAAACAGAAAGAGTGTCAAAGTAGAAGCAGCTATACAGAGTGACTGTGTGCGAGTTCTACCTGATGGCCCAAGCTCCAGATACTCACAGCTTCTCTTCGTCCTGCCTCCTCCTCCCCGTACACAGGCCAGCCTGGTCCCCCGTACTGGCTGCCTCTGCCAGGAGGAATTTCCACAGGCTGGGCCCCGATTCTGCTTGCAATTCCCACCTGGGTCAGATGCTGGATCTGGGACCCTGAAAGGAACACACAGCAGTGACCAGGCCAGCATCTATAGGAAGATTGCAGAGGGTGACACCTTCAGCTCTGACCATGGCCTCCTTTGAGCACAGGGGAAAATAGGTCTTTTTCAAACTCGGTGCTAATGTCGAACATTCCCAGAAGTGGCATTCCTAAGAGAGCAGGAGGGAGAGCTCTCAACAAAATGCTCTTAACTTCCCATCCACAGCCAGTATCTGAGGATGAGGGTCACAGAAGGTCCTTGAAAGGCACAGAATGTTTGCAGGCTGTAAAGAAGCTGAAAACTGGCACCTTCTTGCTTACAGCTTTGATATTCACAAGGACCTGAATATGATGTGCTTTTTTCTTAAAAAGCGGATGACAAAATTATTTAAATTCAGAATGTTTGATATATTACATGTTTCTATAACAGCCACAGCACAAGTTACCCCCCCCCCCCCCCCGCCTACAGGCAAGAGGCATTGAAGGCAGGGGAAGCCAGTGGCTTTTGGGGACTAATTCCCTACACCCAGGCATTAGCTTGCACGTGGCTCCAAAGGCCAAGTGTTTGTCTTACTCTCTTTGGCACATGGAAATAACCGTACACTGCAATCAAGGAAGAAAAGAAAGGATCTTTATTTTATTTTTGGTGTGCTGAGGACTGAGCCCAGGATCTTGTACCTGTTAGGCAACTACTCTACCAGTGATCTACACTGGACTCCTCCAAATTAATCTCTGAGCAATGTGAAATACGGTACATAGTTGTAAACAGCGCCGAGGACATCAATTTTACCCACGGTACAGAAGCTCTCTGAGGGTCCTTGGGGCTATGTACCCTCTCCATTTCAGCCCACTTCCCATGCTGACCAGTTACCCTCAGATAATAAGACTAAATTATAAAAGGAATTCTTCAGTGGTCATATTTGGACATACAGCAATAACTGATGCTCTGTGGGAAAAGTCTGGGCCTCAGCCAGGGTGATGAGCTCCACATGAGCCCTGGTCTGCAGCTGAACAGACTGGGCAACATGAAAATCATCTGTCAGCATGGGCACTATCTATCACAGACACAGCTGAGCTCATCTTTTTAGGGTTACAGATGTAGCCTAGCAAGGGATTAAAGTATACCTTTATGCTAAACCACACAGTGGCTGAAATCCTCATGTGGCCCTGACTCTGAATCCTGCTTTGATCCTTTAACAAAACAGTGCAGGCTTCCAGCTCAAGGCCTGGCAGACCCCAGCCACTGACAAGCCCGGTGTCCCCGGACAATGGCTCTAGCCCCTGCTAGATAGACATCAGTTCCTCCATCCCCAGTCAGCTCAGAGGGTTATTTCAAGGAACAGAAGGTATAAAGTGGATCAAGAATCAAACATATAAACGGCCTACAGCTTTAATCCCAGCACTTGGGAGATGGGAGCAGACAGATCTCTCTGAGTTCCAGCCTAGGATCTCTGTGATTTTGAGACCAGCCAGGTATACAGAGCTAGTTCCAGGACAGCCACGGCTACACAGTGAAACCTTGTCTTGAAAACAAAAATAGATAGCTAGATAGACAGACAGACAGACTTTTTAAAAAAGTGCCTACACAATCTACTCACTGGGTATCTAGGAAGGAAACTTTGCTCTTCTTCTCCCTATTCTGAATAAAGTGCCTGTACCTGCTGACCCAACTCCCTGACCGCTAAATCAAATGTACTATTATGCAGAAATGCAAGCTCAGTCACTGTACCCACCTGTAGTACCCCCAACAGGCCGAGGCCGGGCCACCGATGGCATCTCCTCTGAGTAAACACCTCGGGCAGCAAATGGAGCATCAGCTGACGTCTGTGGCTGTGGGGGCTCAGGGGGGACCAACTCTGAAGACGGCAGCAACCCTGGGCCAAAGCTAGGTCTGCTGGGAGAGCACAGCACACATCAAAACCCCTCACCCTGGCTCTGGAATTTTATTAAGGAACCACTCCCTCAGGGTTTAAGACAGCTTCAAGAAATTATCAATCTCCTCTCCTGGAATATAGGACTTCTCTCAGTGTTACAACCTTCCTGTTTGTTCAGGGCCCTACCTCAGTGTTAAGTCTGAAAGACTGCCATGAGAAGAAAGGAAAAGGGAAGGGAGGGAGAGAAGGGGAAGGGAAGTGTGTGACCAGAGCCTTACTTTTCAGTCTGGCTGTCCACATTATACCCCACAAAAATGCAACCCAGACATGAATTGTTTGATGTTTGCTTTTGGGTTTGTGCTTTCAAAAGAAAAACTCCACAAACAATCTCATTTGTCCATCAAGACTGAAAACAAGTCTAAGGAACTATTCTCAAACCTTTTAAGTTCTGAACTCCTTTAAGCTTAGGGGAAAAAAACATTTTTGAGGGCTCCTGAGACCTTTTATTTATATATCTATCAATATAATTTTATTGTAAGTTAAAACTAAGAACATTAAAAAACACTTATTTTAAAAACCTATTAAAAATACAAACCTAAAACATGCTAGCTTAATCCTCATGAGCTAAACTATCCTCTCCAGCCACCTCCAAATTAGCGCAGCCGTACCTTAGATTTGATTCCAATTACAGAACACATAGTTTCTGAACTCAAAACCACAAAGATAGGACTGTGCATATTTAATACAGTGTACTACTCCTGTACAAACTTACTCCGTAAGTTTAATATTTTTAGACGAATAAAAACGTTGATTTTTGTACAGTGTCAAGTCAACATGGTAGAGTTGGGTTATCTTTTTTTTTCAAAATTGACAGCACAGCTAAAGTTTCCAAAAATTCAAGTCATACAGATGTACAGTTCTATAAAACCCTACTAATAGCAGTATGTTAGATTTTCCAGGTTTTGCAGTCATTTTAACAAAATTGTAGACATCCAGCATACTCCATAAAAAAGGTGGGGAGAGAGGGGCTGGAGAGATGGCTCTGTGGTTAAGAGCACCTGCTGCTCTTCCAGAGGACCTGGGTTCAATTCCCAGCACCCACATGGCAGCTCACGCTTGTCTATAACTCCAGTTCCAAGGTATCTGACACCCTTGCACAGTCATACCTGCAGACAAAACACCAATGCACATAAAGTAAAAATAAATGAATCATTTTTAAGATGTAAAAAAATTAAATTCCCCCAAATAGCAGTTTTTCCATGCATTATATATTCAGTCAGCTGACATTTATTCCTTTCGGAGTAGAATCTGCCCTGCAGTGAGTACATTCTGGGTGGGTGGTGCTAGAGATCTTTCTAGGAAATGCTCAGACCATCATGTCACACATTGTTTGACACTACCCCAAAACTCTGAGGAGGCTGTTGTAGGACTCTGAAGGGACTTTCCACGCTCTGCTTCATTCAGACCCACTGCTCTGCCTTATGACATCTGTCATTTGAAAAATACAGATCATGAAGAGTCTATGGCTGTGGACATGCTTAATAGCAGGAAAACCCATGGAGCTCATCCAGAAAAGCCTGTCGGTGTTAGGACACTGTCACGTTCACCACTGCAGACAAAAGTTCACTTGAATGGCAGGATAGAGTTCCTCCTCCTGGGCATGTCTAGCACTATCCGATGAAAAAAAATTGTTTAGATTTATTTATTTTTTTGTTTTTTGTTTTGTTTTGTTTTGAGACAGGGTTTCTCTGGGTAGCCTTGGCTGTCCTGGACTCACTTGGTAAACCAGGCTGGCCTCCAATTCATGGAGATCTGCCTGCCTCTGCCTCCCAGAGTGCTGGGATCACAGGCGTGCACTACCACAATTGGCTTGTTTAGATTATTTAATTTCATGTATGTGAGTGTTTTGCCTACATGCATGTATGTGTACCATGTGCAAGCCTGGTGCCCTCAGAGGTGGAACTGGAGCCCCTAAACTGAAGTTCAGGGGTTCGTCAGCTACCATTTGGATGCTGGGGACAGATCCTTGATCCTCTGCAAGAACAACAGGTGCTCGGAACTGTCAAGCCAGCTCACTACCTGATTTTCCATCTTTTCAGTATTTTTTTCATTATCTGATTTTAACAATACCTTCTTGCTCATAAGATATTTTCAACTCAAGGGTGAATTCTACTCAGCAAGTCTACTGAGCATGCTCAGACCAGATTGCCAAAATACTTCACGGAATAGAGAAGCTCACCTCTGTTTTGTTTGCTAAGACTTTTACCACAAACAGATGTTGACTTCATCAAATGCTGTATCTACTGAAATGGCTTTTTCCTCCTTTGTCCACTTTGAAGGAGCACATTACACAGTTTGGTTTTTAACATGCTAAATCACCCTTATGTTGACAGACTCAATCAGACTGTAATATGACATCCTTTTTATATAGTGCTGGGTGTTTGTGATTATTTAGTTTCAGATTCTTTCCACCTTTGTTCACAAGAGAAAGCAGCCCTTAATGTTTCCATTTTCACAAGGTCCTTGTTCTTCTAATTCATCCTTTCCTGGTTCTTGTCCCTCTTCTCCCCATTTCTCACTTAGTAGCAGAACCTAAATTCCAACACTGTGTGTGTTTGCACGTGCGTGTGTATAGCCATGTGTGAACATATGAGCCACGGCACACATGAGGACGTCAGAGAGCAGCTTGCTGGAGTCAGCTCTCTTCTTTCTACTGTGTGGGTCTCAGGGTCTGAAGTCAGGTAGTCAGGCTTTGTGGCAAATGCTTTATCCACTAAGCCATTTTGCCTGCCCAAGTCCTAATACTTGCACAGTAAGCATTTTTACCATCAAGAAATCTCCCAAATTCCAACATTTTACCTCTCCTCCTGGGCAGAGCAAGGAAATCCACAACCCAGTTTTCTAAATGTTCAAGTTAACTAATGCTGCGAGTCTGTGAAATCAGGAAGAATAGGCTGCGTGAGCAAGCCATGATGGGATTTCTTCTGGAAACCGTACCTTGGCAATGGGCCAGATGGAGGTGTCATCCCATAGTCTTCATATCTCTAGAAAAAATTCAAAAGAACACCCAGACAGACATGTAATACTTATTAGAAAATTGCAATATCAAGCCTGGTGTGATGGCACACACCTTGAATCCCAGCACTTGAGAGGCAGAGGCAGATGGATTTCTGTGAGTTTGAGGGCAGCCTGGTCTACAGAGTGAGTTCCAAGACAACCAGGCCTATACAGAGAAACCCTGTTTCAAAAAAGCTACTGGGGTGCACGAACAGCAAGAAAGAGGAAGTTTTTCAATTAATTATTTATAATTTTATTTTTTACTTTATGTATAAGGGCATTTTGTCTGTATGTACATCTATGCGCCACATGTGCGCAGTGTCAGCAGGGGCCAGAAGAGAACACTGGATCCCCTAGAACTGGACCTACAGATAGCTATGAGCCTCCAGACATTTATGACAAAGACTGTCTCCCGTCTCGTAAAACTGACTCCTCACACTATTGATTGTTTTCTTTACTATGCCTAAGATTTTTAATTTCATGTAGTCCCATTTGTCAAGTCTTGGGATTATTCTGTGTGCTATTGGAGCCAATTTTTAAAATTAGTATTTTAAAATAGAGCTGCTATGATATAAAGGCTTCCAGTGAAAAAGCAATGCTTTCATTTCTTTTGGTAAAAATTTAGTAAATGAATGGCTGATTCATCTAGTCAGTAGATCATTAACACATTAAGAAATTTCCTGGATGAGGGTACAGTGTTAAAGAATATTTGCATGCCTAGCATGACAGGGTCCTGTGTTAAAGGCTCACCACTGCTTTTTTTGTTTGTTCTTTTAAACAAAACTAAACATATCCATAAGCAGTCTGGTCTAGGGATGTAGCCAAAATGGCAGCTCACTCACCTGGCACACCCATGACCTGAGCACCATCCCTGGCAATAAATGCAATTGGCACACATTTTTCTGCCCCCCCTCTCAACCCTCCGGACAGGGTTTCTCTGTATAGCCCTGGCTGTCCTAGAACTCTCTCTCTTATAGATCAGGCTGGCCTTGAACTCACAGATATCCACCTGCCCCTGCCTCCCAAGTGTTGGGATTAAAGGTTGTGCCAACACTGCCCAGCTAACTTTTGCATTTCTGAAGCATACCAACTGTTTTGTTGTTGTTTCTCCTCCTGAAATTATTGTCTTTCATCCCTTTGTCCAAAACCTTTTCCCCTTGGGCTGGGGATACAGCTCAGTTTTTGAGAGTGCTTGCTTAGTATAGGTTTGACCCTCAGCCCTTCCCCAGCAGCCCTTCCCCTTTGTGAAGCAGGGCTGGGGAGAGACCTGTAACCCCAGAATTGGAGAGGTACAGGCAGTGGATCACAAGTTCAAGATCATCCGTGCAACATAGCATGTTCCAGGCCACATTAGACCCTGGACTACATGAGACCCTTTCTTTTCAACTATTTTTTTAAATCTTGCAATCAGTGACTCAACTATTTTTGATCATAGTTAAAATGTCACTTTTGTAATAACGAGATGTGTAGAGTTGCCAGAGTAGTATTAAACTATAAGCCTAGCATTAAACAGAGCTTATTTTAATAATGTTTACTGGTTTACCACTTATACACCTAGTATGCAGCTAAAGTCTATAGAAGAGAGAGTCTATCGTTTTGTTATACTGAGTTACCCAGTATGGCTGGCTTGTTTATATAATGCAATATTAATATGCACAGATGGATTCTTTTTTGTTTTGTTTTTCAAAAGAGGGTTTCTCTGTGTATCCCTGGCCATCCCGGAACTCACTCCACAGACCAGAGATCCACCTGCCTCTGCCTCCCAAGTGCTGGGATTAAGGGTGTGTGCCCCCACTTAAAATCCAGTACTTGTAGTGCTTGAAATCTGGTACTTTCTATGCTAACAAAAATTAATGATAAAAAGGTTGATAAGCTTTAGAAGAAGAACCACCCACCTCAACAAAATGGACAGCCCCTAAAGAACAGCACCCAAGACTGACTGCGGGTCTCCATATGCATGTTCGCCCACATACCTGCACACAGGCACACCCACATGTGAACGACCACTGACCCCAGCCCTGCCACACATGCACACCCACATGTAAACAAGCACCGACCCCACCTCTGCCCACACATGCACACCCACACTCACATACAAAGAATAATTTGAAAAACATAAAGACCAAATATAGTAAGGACAGATGACAACAACAAAGACAAGTGAAAGACTGAAATGTCAGCGCCCAGAATGGTTAGCTGATATTTGCGAATGGCTATCCTTGTCTGTGCCTGGACTAGTACCTTGGGAGCATCTCCAGGACCAGGTGGTCCAAAAATCAGTTGAATAATTTGAGTTGTTTCTAAACTGATCCGTTTATGGAAATCAATGAGAACACAGCCTGACAACCCATCTCCCCTTCATGACCCTGTGAGGGAAGATGTTCCTTTGAACTCCAAATGCATCTCTCCTCAAACATCAGAGCTTCATGAAACATTGCTTCCAACACTGAGAATTAATTGGAGTAGAAGATAAAAGCTGAGCCCTACCAAGCAAGCTTTAAATCTCATAAAATGCAGCCAAAGTTTTGCAGGGAGCCTTCAAGTGACACAGGTAACAAAATTCAAGCACCTTGCCCAGCAGAAAACTTCAGGAGGCCAGTACTTACGCTGCAGGGGTTGTTGGCCATCTGGGCTGGACTGTAGAAAGACCCCCACTGTGTGGCTCGCCTTTCTTCCCTGGAAGGGGTGCTATTCACAGGCAGGCCTGCTGGCACCCCGGAACCTGCTCCCACAGTGTTGGTAGGCTGGCTGCTGGGAGCCACAAGGGCGAAGGCATCATCCAGAAGTGAGTGCATGGTCTGGCGGGCCTCCTCAATGGATGGCTGGGGTGGGATGTACTGAGAGGCAGAGAAGGGCAGTCCAGGATACCTGCCCAGCTCAGCAGAGGACGGGGTCTGCACATCACCCGGAAGGTCAGGATCAGACTGTGTGAAAGGCGAGCACGAGAATGGTGTTGAGAGCTTCTGAGGGAGGAGGGAGCAGAGCACCAAACAAAATCTGGGGTAGACCAGATTTTAACAATGGTCCTACCGTGTGGGAAAGGGTTTGTCGTAAGAATTAAAAAGCATTTACATAATTTGTATCATCTTGTGGAAAACAAAAAGCCTTCAATTGGAGAAAAACCAAATGGGAATATTCAATAACTTCTTTTCTGTAAAACTCCACTGTGAAACAGACTTCAGACCCCAGGAGTGGACATCTTAACAAAAGCGTCAGCAGCCACAAATCAGACTTCAAAGTTTACACAATAAGCAAGTGTCAACTTTCCAGGGACGTAAAACCCAAAAGGCGGAGCAGACTATTAACAGTAAGAAAACACCCTACATGTGTATAAGGTAAATATGTGTATATTCGAATACCTGCTTAAAAACTGCTTATGATAGTAAATAGTGACAAATATTCAAAAATTTTGTCTTTAAAACAAAGGTCTCTGAGTAAGAAAAGTTTAATGTCCTGTCCCCACTGTTTAACAGGCAAGAATCAGAGAAACAAGGTTGCATTGTTTTGTTTTGTTTTTTTTAATCTTTTTTTCTTTTTCATTTTATTTACTGAGACAGGGTCTATCTACAGAGCTGTGAGTGATCTTGACTGACCTTGAACTCAGAGTTCCACCTGCCTCTGCCTCTGCAATCAGCACTCAGATTAAAGGCATATGACACCATGCCCAGCTCAAGATTTATTTCACTTTAAATTGTGTGTGTGCCTGTGTACAGCTCACACTGAGATCCCAGTGGGATTTCACCACACTCCAGAGCCCCAGCACTCCAGGCCCTTCCCATAGCATCCTCAGTGGTCAGACTTTAGAGAGACAGAGACAGTGTACGTCTGGAGCAGGACAGACAGGTCCTGAGGCTGGGAAGGGTGGTTCCTTTGGGTTCCCACTGGGGAGGGAATCCTACTAGAAACCAAACGCAGAGCCACGAACCCAGAACGCCCCACTCCTGTCTCCTTGTTGCCTCTTCAGAACTTGAAAGTCGAGAGTTCACTTTCCCACATCCCACCATCTAGCACAGTACTTTGCAGGCGGACAGAACTCAACAAAGAAAAACCTGAGGCCCATGAAGTTGAGTCTTCCTTAGGAAGCTTGGGCGGGACCTAAATTCTACTTCCTTGGATTCCGGTCTGCTCATCCCATTCTGATTCATTGCTGTTTCATTCAGACAGGAACAAACACCAACTCACTTCAGAGCACCAAAAACCCAATCCTACTCAAGTGTAGCTTGGTGAGTCAACAAGTTTAACTGTGATTACTTACAGAGGTGAGACTTAAAGAGGCATGGGCAACTGACAGACAGCTACACTATCAAGAAAATTTGCCGCTTGGCAATTATTAATCCTTAAAGAGGAGCCTTGAGTTTCCTGAGCCTCCTTGCAGGAGGCCCTGCCTACCTCAGGATAAACACAGCTGCTCTGATCTCATTCCCAGGAGATAGCATTTTACAACAGAGTCCTGCTCCTGTCACTCTTCACACACACACATGCAGTTCTTCTAGACATCATAGGCCATGCCTTGCACTGGCTATTTTGCAATCCTTAGTGGTCTCTTAAACCAGTGACCTCACATCCTGTTTAGCTCTGTGCCTGGTTTAATCATTAATAGCAATTCTTTTCTCTTCTGAGAGCATCTGGTTTGGACACTAAATGGCATTAGGGGTCAACAAACTTGTAGCTTTTTGTTGCCTGTGTTTTAAGGAGACAGGGTTTGTCTTTATGGACAAACTCCTAGGCTTAAGCAAGGGCCTAGCTGCCACCTCCCAAGCAGCTGGGACTATGGATGGGCACCAGCAGGCCCCAAGCCAACAAAAACTTTCAGTCAAGAGCCAGACAATAAATATTTTAGGTTCTGCAAGCCATAAAAGTCTGTCACAACGAAACTCTAAAAGCAGCCAAAGACAGCATGCAAGCAAGGGCATGGTTGCCTTTCAAAAAGGCCAGTGTTGACTAAAACAGCAGCAGGCTGGATGCGGCCTGAGGGCAGAAGTCTTCCAGGCCCTAGCTAGAGAGGTGACCGAATAGGAGGGGCTGACGATTTTGGAGCACTGCTCTCAAGAAGTTATTTTGGGAGGAAAAGTAGAAAAGTCCAGATAATTTAACTCTATGTGGTACACATATGGTCTTAGAGGTAAAACTCCAGCTCTGAGAAAGGTGTTATTTTTCAAACACACATTACGGAATTTCAGGGAGAGTCAAAAGTTAAGTACATCTGGGGAGGATTTTCTAGGCAGGGAATCTTTGGAAAGGCATCCCTGGAGACAAAGTCCAAGGAGGTTCCTGGTCTCTGAGGAAGCCTACACTTCTGTAATGACAAAAATGAAGAAAACAAAGGGAGGTCTGAGCTTGGTGCAGTGGCATCCGCCTGTAGTTCCAGAACCCAAAAGGCTGATGCAGAAGATTACAGGAGTTTGAGACTAGGCTAGGCAACATAGCAAGATTTTGTTCCCCCAAATTAAGTTAAACCTGAAAGGAGGGTCCAGGACACCATGAGGGAAGCCTGATATTTGGTCGTCAGTAAAGATGAATCCAAGGAAAAGCAAGCCCCCTACACAAAATTCAACAAGAGGATGGAACTCAGGGGCTGGAAAACAAGGGTCTCCTGTAGGCTTCTTTGAGAGGATGAGCCCTGGCTGGTTAGGAAAGGTTGTGGGGGGAGGGAAAGGAATACTGTTTCTTCTTCTCTTACTAGTTCCACAAAAGCACCAGATGATTATATTGAAGACCTACACGTACAGTTTCCACAGAGCCCAACACCACCAGTGCTTGGACACACACTTCCAAAAGGCAGGACAGGAGCCATCTGTTGCAGGAAAAGCTGGTGTGTGTGTGTCTGAGGAGGGTCCCTCCCTGGTCAGGGAGAGGAAGACAAAGTACTGGATTCCCTTGCTCTCCAGTGGCATCTACAATTAGCAGCAACAGCTCATGAGAACCCTCATGATGGGGTAATAAAGGTCACAGTCAGGCCTCAGAGCACATTAAGCTCCCAAAGAGGAACTTGTTTCTTTCAGATATCTTGATGAAATTATAGACTTCAGCTCATGTCAGTACAGTGACTGACACATCTGTATAAGCATTTTGAATGTTTTTCAATATTAGTTACATGTCATTTAGGGAAAAAAAGAAGAAAGTGTTTCAGAGCTGTTTTGTCTATCACAATGACTTCTTCCTCAGAGAAGCCACTGTGTTGCTAAGGTCACTCAAACAAAGCTGGCTCAGCACAGCAGGACTGAGTCCTTTATGCTGCCCCCTGCTGCCAGTGTGCTGTGTCCATCAGACTCTCCCTCTCTTTCCCAGGGAATCTTTAATGTCTCTTGCTGGTGATCCCTTGGGAAGCTTGGTTTCTTTCTTCCTCAATGGAGCCTGTGGGTATATGTCATATGTCAATGGTTTGCCTTCAAGGCATACTATCTGTGTCCCTTTCTATTTGGAGAAAAAAAAAAAAAGTTTTCATTTTTTGATTTCCATTAGGCTCTTTTTTTCCCATGAAAATTATATATACACATACACACACATTATGTTGAACATCTCTAATGAAAACCATTTTGAGCCGCTGTGACATTCAGTTGGGGATTCTAAATATTTCAAGCTGTAGACTCTCGACCGGGATGCTCAACTGGAGAATCTGCACAAACATTCCAACACTGCCACAATCTGAAGCAGTGTGGTTGCCGGTATTTTGAATAAAGGAGACTGAACTGAGTGATTGACTCTCTTCTTAGCTCCTCGGGAACATGAGAGTGAGGGGGTGTGCAGACAAAACAGGAAAAAGCCAAGAAACCTGAACAACTGTCTGAGCAGAGAGAGAGAAAACCTAGACATTCTTGTCTTCCACTTAACCTCAGGCAGCTCCCATTCTGAAAGCAGAGGTGGGCTCTTGTGCAGAGGAAAGGCCAGGGCACACCTCCAGAGCTATCACCCGGCAGCGTCCTGGCCGATATAACTCTGGGTCCATCTGCTCTGGGTGCTGCATGGCCTGCTGGCCTTCACATCCACTTTGCACAGGGCAGCAGCTAGCCCTGCACACTCTCCTTTCCCATCAAGGCACCCTCCTCAGAGCCCCACCATGTTTCCCAAGAGTCTGGTATTACACACCGGACATCCAATGTAGGCAGAGTTGTGCACACCCGGGGGCCGCTTGTACGTGCCATCACTGTCTGTGGTGATGAGTCTGTCCTTCTCGGCATCAGCGGGACAGCCGTTGACCTGGTGTTTTCGGCGTGGCTTGGGAGAACGCTTCATCCTTGAACTGACAGGAAAAGCAGAAATTATCCTCACAGGAAACAAACCTGCTGGCCACCGGCTTGTCAACTTAACTTGTTTTCTGAATGCCTAGGATGGGCCGGTGATGGTAGGAAAAGTTCAGGGACTCTGACAAAGCAACACCACCTCACTATCGCAGAGATAACAGAGCTTCTGTATTCAGGGCATCGGTTAGTGACATCGCCAGTCAGAAAGTGGCAAGTCCAGATGAGAGGTATTAACACCCTCCAGGTGACCCAGTAGATGAACGGATCTGAGGCTGAGGACCAAAACTGGCTACAGATGAATCTAAGGGGAAGATGAGAGGACCATCCACAGTAGCCACGGCTCTGTCTGTGTGGCTGGCCATGGACAGAGCTAACATAGAGGGGAAGGCCCCACCTACTACAGGGGAACAGGTTTGGGCGCAAAAAGACAACCGTAATATTTTATTTATTTCTAAGAGTGTAGGTACATCTGTGTACCAGCTATGTGCCTGGTGCCCAAAGAGGCCAGAAAAGAGCACTGGATCCCTTGGGACTGGAGTTACAAATGGCTATGAGTCACCAAAAAGGTGCTGGGGAATCAAACCTGGGTCCTCTGGAAGAGCAGCTACTGCTCTTAACCACTGAGCTATTTATCCAGCCCCAATGTGTTGATGTGTGTACAGACAACATGCATGATGGAGCAGGAGCTAGCGGATGGGAGGGTGGACCAAAGACTGCAGGAGGCTGTAGGAAAACACACATGGAGACCTGCCACACTTCCCAGTGACCACCAGCTGATGAAGACAAAACAGTACAAGAGTAAGAGGAGGGGATGGGAAGAACCCCCCCACCCTACCTCTACAGAAGCCTCTTCAATCCACTGTCATAGACTGTCACCTGGATACAACAGGGATTTCTGTTGTAGGCCCCAGTCTCATCCTGCCCCTTGTCTAATCCACCCGTCCACCATGGCCCACCTCTTCCTGGGCTCTATGAACACAGACGGCACACTGGCTGCGGGGTCCAGGATCTTGTCAATCTGCATTTGTGCCCTTCGGTACACTCGGTGTCGCTCCTTGGTGTCACCGGAAGACAGGTCATCTACCACAGGAAACTCGTAGTGGCCTCGGCGTTTGGCTCGCAGGCGGATCTTGTTGCGATGGTGCTCAATCTCTGACTTGTGGCGCAGCGCAGACTGGATCTACGTGCAGACAGAGGACAGCAAGAACAATCACTCAGGGGATTGCCTTGGGTTTCTGGGACACTTCCTCTGAAAAGGCCTTGTAGAGGCGTCTTCCTTCCTCCCAACTCTGCACTTGCTCTGTAGATGTAAGAGAGGCACCACAGAGGTGACAAAGGATGCACTGCACACTGCCTACATGGAGGGGCAGACAGACAGCCATCCACTCACTATCGATCAGCAGCTTAGGGAAGGCTAAAGCCAGTGTTCAAGAGCTAGGGCAGCTGTAGCACGGCTTTCCAGAGGCGGCTTCCTCGGGCTTCCGCTTTATTGTGCTGCTAATTCAGTATCCATAACTGTCCCTGACTAGTGCTGGAGTTTAAAAAGAATCAAATTGGGGGGGTAGGGGAGTGTGGTGAGAGGCCCTCCACAGGCCTCGCCACTGGCACAATAGCACTTAGCAGTTGATGATGTCTGAGAGGGGAAGTCATCTTTTCTTTGAGGATATGGCTACTGATAGGCTGGCCAGGCCCACAGGATGGGGCTTATTATTAATAATGACGATGATGATTAAGACAGCATGAAGCTGGGAGTGTGGGGAGAGCTAGGGGGATGGATACACTGTATTCATGTACCAAATCTTCAAAGAATAAATTAAAAATATTAAAAATAAAACAAAGGTGTGTGTGTTTCTGTGTGTTTTCTTGGTTGTTTTCTTCTGATGCTGAGGCAAGGTCTTACACTGCGGGCGGAGTTATGCATTCAGGAGTGGCCCTTCTGTCACAGCCTCCAGGATGCTGGGATTACAGACCTAACTCACCACACCCAGCGTGGAGGGTTTTGAACTAGGTACATCTGCATTAGGTGCATGCTTTTCGCAACTGTTTGATACTGGACTTCTCACTCCCTTTTCTAATACTGACCAAATTATGACATGAGCTTCTTTATTAATGCACTTTCATTAAAATCAAGTACCTCCTTGTTGATTTTGTTGGTCTCTGCCACTCGGTCGGCCAGGACAGGGTGCTGCACTGGGGGGGCTGGGATGGGCTGCATGGCAATAAGCTGGATCTTACTGGGAACCCGGCGGCTGGCCTCTGAGGTTCGGGAAATCCTGTCCACATGCTCAAAAATGGAGGCCGAGGAATGCTGCTCATTGCCTGAACTGGGCAGCGGGGCACCTGGAACAGAAGGGGAGGGGCATGAGCAGGAAAGTGCCATAAAGTAGCGACGAGGAGTCAAAGTTATGCATCATCCCTGAGAGCACCCTTGTGTCTAGTCATGACCAAAGCAACTAAAATTTCTCTAGTTCAGAGTAGACGGCCTATGTTGAATTAACTCTTTTGGCTTCATTAAAAATTTCCAAATGAGGGTTGGCAAGATGGCTCAGCAGGCAGAGAAGGACTTGTGCACAGGCCCTATGGCTTGAGTTTAATCCTGGGTCTCATCCGGAAAGCTGTTCCTGACCGCCACACATGCCACAGTGAACACCTGCGAGTGCACACAGACACACATACACTTATAAAATCACAAGTGCCTTTAGGACAGACGTGAGAACGTCATCATGATACTATGTGCCAAAGGTCACTCTACTGTTTCTCTCTACATGTAATAAAAATTATTCATAAAGAAAAACGAAGGCTCATTTGAAAGTTCTTCCATAACATGCCTCGGGCCCTGGCTTCAATGCCCAGAGCTACAAAACAAACAAAACATAAAATATCTGAGCTGAGCTTGCTGGTGCACGCCTGTAATTCCAGCACTTCGGAAGCTGGGACAGAAGGAGCATGAGGTCAAGATCATCCCTGGCTAACACAGCAAGTTCCAGGCTAGCCTGGGCTACATGAAAAAAGGGAAAAGCAGAGAAGGAAGACTGAAGTTGCTCGGCGAGTCAGTGAGCGGTATATAGAATTTTCACTGAAAGTATTTACAGAGCATCCACTCTCCTCGGAGCACTCACCGGCATGGCAGCAATTCGCTGTGACAGCCCGCTCTCGAGTCTTCCCTCGGCATGGAGTGGGGACTGGTTCCAGAACACTGCACATACCAGAGTCCGACTGGACTCAGTCTCCTCTAAGAAATGGTGCAGTATCTACCTACACATACAACTCAAGAACATGGTCCTGAAACCTTTAAATTACCTCTAAATTACAGACTACTGTAATTTAAATGCTATGTGAATGTGTAAATTCTATGTTAACGATTACTTTAATATTTAAGGAATAGGGATAAGAAAGGTTACACACACGTAATATTCATGTAACTTAAAAATATATGTCTGATCTACAGTTGTTGGTTGAATATGGACAGCATGGATACAGAGGGGCTGACTGTACTGGAGGAGGGGGATGGGACAGAAAACAAGGGGATGAGAGCCACACAGGAGGGCATCAGATTAGCTGTGAATGCCTAGGCTTTCGCTTCCTATGTAGAAAGAAAAGCTGAAGAAGCATGGGGGGGGGGATGACAAAAAACAAAAACCCTCACCCTTAAGAGGAAGAGTAAGGGTCAGGTTTGTGTTATATGCATTTTATTGCAATATTCTTAAAAAAGTAATCAGATCTATAAAAATGAAGAAATTTATGCACACTCCAAAGAATGGACAAGTCAGTCACTGTGGTGCACACCTTTAAGCCCAACACTCAGAAACAGGAGCAGGTGAGTATCTGTAAGTTCAATATAGCCTGCTACAGACAGTGTGCTCCAGCCTGGCTAGGGCTGCTCAGTGAGACCCTGTTTGAAAAAACAAAAGCCAAAACAAAACAAAAAAACAAGAAAAAAAAACACTTAAAATATAAACAGAGACTGTACCTTATATAATGACCGACTGTCTCCACTTTCTCATTTGCAGTAATGAGGAATTTCTCTAATGAATATTAAATGTAGTAGAAAAAGCCCCAGTAAAATTTAAGTTTAAAATGAAAAAAGGAGCTGGAGAGACAGTTCAGCAAGAAATGGCACTGGCTGCTCTTGCAGAGGACTTGGGTTCAGTTCCAGCACCACATGGTAGATCATGATCACCTGTAACTCCAGATCCAGGCCATCCGCTGCCCTTTTTTGGCCTCCATTGATCACGTGATAGACTGACATAGATAGATAGATAGATAGATAGATAGATAGATAGATAGATAGATAAACAGAGATAGAGAAATAGAGATATATATATGTATGTGTGTATGTAGGACTCAAAGAGGACCACAGGTGAGAAGCTGGAAAGAACTGGCTGGTCAAAGGATCGAAGCCTATGCCTGGCCATCGGTCACCTCTCAGCTGAAGTCACAGAGCTCTGCTAGATCCTCTGCTACAAACTTCAAGGCAAGGAATGCCCAGGGCTTAGGCTTTACTGCTAAGCAGCGAGGTAAAGGTAAGAGAGCGAAAGAAATCCCCTAGCTCTTGTACTGACTAGTACCTGGCCTTTCAAAATATATGGAAAAGGTTTTTTAATTGTACATTAAATTATAATATGTATTATGTTATATACTGTACAATCAAAAATTACTTAGATAACAATAGCCAATGGGAGGCATAACAGGCAGAGAGAGACAAATGTGTGAGGAGTCCTGCCTTGAGGCAAGGAAGGGCTTCAGACTGAAAAGCCTCTCTCTTTCTCTTTCTTTTAAAAAGTAATAATATAAATCACACTGCACAGTCAAGAAATGTATCGTCTACCTATGACTACATAAATAATAGATCATCTATTTTAAGATAACCAAGAAATGGCTGATGAGAAGGCTCAGAGGGTGAAGACACTTGCTGCCAAGCCTGACAGCCTGAGCTTGAGCCCAGAACCCACATGCTGAGAGAACGGACTCCTGTAATTAGACCTCTGACCTCCACATACGTGTTGCAGCAAGCACATGTGTGTACACATGCATGTACAAACACACACACAATCAAACGAATGTAAGTGGTTTTTAAACACAGAGATTTCAAGTGTTCTCACATAAAAACACATTAACTGTGATGAGTATCGCAAACAGTAAAAACTTGATTTCACCATTCTATGTCTTTTTAGTATACATTTAAACATGATGTTGGGAGAGTTTTGTTCTGTGCCATCTGTAACTGGAGGGATCGGATGACCTCTTCTGACCTCCGTGGGCACCAGACACACATACATTCATGCAAAATACTCATACACACAAAATTTTAAAAATCTTTAAAATGTTTTTTAAACTCATGTTGCAAGTATATATTGAAAATAAATAAAAATTTTAAAACAAAAGGAAAAATTTCTGTTGTTTAAGACCCAGAAAGGGAGGCAACATAGGATTATACAGAATAATGTCAGCCACATACAATGACAGGGGAAGGGCATTCCTGAAGTGCTTTGTATGGAAGAGTATTTAAGAGGAATTTCGTCACTTACAGACATAGTTAATCCACACCATTCCTAACTTTGGTGACCCTCAGCCATGCCCTCTGAGGCTAAGATCAATGAGTGGTGACCCTTATTGCCATCACTGAGCAGAGTCCATTCAGGAGAAACCCCGAATGATGACTGACGTAGTCACCATGACTCAGTTTACAATATTCTTCCTTGAAGAGGCCCTCTGGGAATTGCCTCAGTGAGAAATTGAGAGCTATGCTTAACGACTTCAATCCTCTTAGGAATGAGTCCTCCAAGATTACCTGACACCTCAGTGCTACATATATGTAGTTAATCTGTTGAAACAATTCGTCCACCAGGCAAAGACCTTATCAGGTGCCAAAATAAATGTTCTATCAATTCCCAAGAGAAGTCCTAGCACCTGGAGCTTGTTGAGTTCAAGGTGATGAAGTTTAACTATTTCAGAATCACATCCTTGCACACATGAGAACATCAAGTATGCACTGGGGGAAGGGACAGAGTGGTGGCACACACCTGTGACACCAGCACCCAGGAAGCAGATGCAGGTGGACCTCTGGAATTCAAGACCAGCCGGGTCTACATAGTGAGATCCAGGCCAGACATAGCTACATCGACAGCCATGTGGTGAGACCCTCTCTTAGCCACAACACCCCCCCCCCCCAAAAAAAAAAAAAAACCCACTTGCCAGTCCATTTCTTCTAGGTGTATTCCTGAGGAAAAGGAGGGGTCAGGCAGGGCCACGAGAGGACCGCACTGACCCCTGAGCTTGGTATCTTGCTCAAGGGCTCATGGCCCCTCCACTTTCACCTCTCTTCCCACATTCTCTTCGGTGAGGAAAGTGGGAACTGCAATGACTGAGAGCATGGTGCCCTGTGAGTCAGTTATCTCTGAAGGTCTCAGAAAGGGACGCAAGAGCTACATGACAAGTGGCAGGGCAAGAAACCTGGGCAAGCTGAATTTGCCAGAACACAAACTGCAGCCTCTTAGGAGTTTCTGTTGCAAGAGGGGGACGAAAACGCGTGCCAGGGACCCTGAAGCTAGTCACTGGGTGTTTGACATGAAGTGGTGACAGGGAGCACTAGTGCCTTAAACGAGGTTCCTGGTGGTTCTCAACAACTTCTTCCTCCACTCACAGGACACGCAGCAGAAAATGGATTTTTACGGAAATTTTAAGAAACAATCTAAACACAGTGGAGTGTACTTGTGGTCTCAGTGTTCAAGAGAGAACTGCTAGTTTGAGGTCCAGCCTGGGCTACATGGAATCCACTGTCTTCAAAAACAGGTGGGCACTTGCCTAGCATGTGCAAGGTGCTGAATTCCTTCTCTTCCTGCCACACACACACACAAGCACACATGCACAGACACATACACACTCACTCATATATATGGCATATAATGAAGCTCTCTGCAAAGAGAATGAAACACCTATAGAAGCCCCAAAGCTGTCTTACGACACCTTCTAAGAAGGTAAGAGCTTTAAAGTGAGTTGATACTGTCTTTCTAGAGCACATTGATATAAATAATATATTTATATATAATAATATATATTTATTATTTATAGAGCATCAATAGTATCATGCTTTCAATTGTGGCAGCAGCACCTGGCTGCTGGCACTCCCAGGAAGCTCCACCTCGCCGCCCTGCCTCACAGGCAGTGGGCTTCTGAGGGCATGCTGGGTTTGCTCCCTATACAGGCTACACTGGTGTGCTGCTGTCAGAAGGGGTAGGGGTGGGCACAGCGAACAGCACAGGCTAACTAGGTAAGCACTCAGCAGAGACCGGGAAAGGCTAGGACTCTTTTTTTTTCTCAAATATTTCTTTCCCAGGGTTGGAAAGAGATTTTAATCCTGCCTATCTGAAATCCAGCACCTGTTACCATGGTGCTAAGTAAGTTTTAAGATTCTATGAAACTGGATCCCAAAGGGGGGAGGAAAAAAAAAAACACCTCTTCCCTTAGTCTAAGGGGCTATTTTCTCAAAACTACAGAAGAACCAGCTGGAGGAATGGCAAGGATGAGTGACAGGATAGACAGCAGGACTTGCAAGGCCTTGGGGTGGCTGTCAGGGCACAAAAGGCTCTTAGCCTTTGGCCCATACTGTCCTCATTTATAGAATGTTTTTCAGTCTATGCTGCATTTTCAGACAACAAAATATGCAATCAAACAAAGTGAGTATGGGGATGGAGAGACGGCTCTGTGGTTAAGAGCACTTGCTGATCATGCAGAGACCAGAGTTCAATTCCCAGCACCTACAGTGTGGTTTCCAAACAGCTAAACGTCGTTACTGGAGATCCAATGCCCTCTTTTGACCACCATGGACACTGCATGCACATGGTGTGAATACATACATGCAGGCAAAACACTCATACACATAAAACAATATAAATCTAAAAACAACAACAAAACATTTTAAAAACAAACATAGCTGGGTATGATGGTACATGCCTTTAATCCCAGCACTTGGCAGAGGCAGGTGAATCTCTGAGTTTGAGGCCAACCTGGTCTACAGAGGGAGTTCCAGGACAGCCAAGGCTACACAGAGAAACCCTGTGTCAAAAAAAACAAAAACCAAACAAACAAAAAGAACCCAACCAAACAAGCCATTCTTTAATCCCTTAACTGCTGAAATGTGAGCCTGAGATAAATGCAAAACCCTAGCCAATTCAAGAGCACATTCATTTAACAGAACCTATTAGGCTAAAACCAAGCTACTGGGGGACCCAGGCCAGGATGGCTCAGTGGGTAACAGCACTCACTATCAGACCAGACAACCTGAGTTCAATTCCCAGAATCCATGTGGTAGAAGGAAAGAAAAGATTCCAACAAGTTAGTTATCCTCTGACTGTGACACGTGCACCATGGTATACACGTGAGCATATACATGATAGATGATAGATGATAATAGACAAACAGACAGATAGTTAAGATAGACGGATAAGATAGATAGATAGACAGACAGACACATAGACAAATTCGATAGATAAGATAGATAGGCAGGCAGGTGAGACAAGACAGACAGGCAGGCAGGCAGGCAGGCAGACACACACACATACAAACTATGAAGTCAAGCTGCCAGCTAAGGCAAGGCAGAGCATATCTGTCACCTCACCAGTCAGGAGGTAGAATCAGGAGAATCCAAATTTTCAGGCAGAGCTGGACTACATGAGACTGTGTCTCCAAAAACCCCAAATAAAATAAAACCACTTCAAAAACTACTACCAAGACAAGGAAGGCCTGTGGGCATAGTTTTTATTTTTATTTTTTTTGGGGGGGTGGTCTGTTTGTTTGTTTTACTAGCATTAGGCCCAAAGCCACGAGCTGTGTGGTGGGAGTGACCTTTGTTTTGTGCCTGGTCTGCTAAGACGCCAAGCCATCCAATTACACACATTTAGCTGCTGGGAGGATGACCCATTAACGAGACCACACTTGTTGGGAATGAGCCTCCTGACAAACATCTTCCCAACAGTGACATCCTTAAACTGCTTCCTAAAAAAGTCACTGTGTCCTAAGCACAGTTTTAGGACTACAGTTTCCATTACATTCTCCTTGTCCTTCAGGCAGAAAATTTGTTTGGACACTAAGTTAAATGAATTGCTAGCTGTAAAACACAACTCAGCGAACCCCTAGTCTCTACTCCTGTGCCTTCCCTTGACACAGACACAAGCACGAGCTTCAAAAGTGGCAATCAAGGCTGAGAAGCTCAACACAAGTGATGTATATTCCATTTTCGTAGATTTTTTTAAAGCTTAGTATCTGCAGTAGGGTAATCCCCTAGCCTATGGGACTCTGATCATGACAAGTGTTGACAGGGGGAAGGAAGGACAGTGACACACCGCTCTGCAGAGCTCTGTGGGCCTTGCTCTCCTGGGCAGTGGCTGGCATCTTCTCTCCTGCATCCCTCTCGCTGGAGTCCTCGCTGACTGTAGAGTCGGCATCTGAGGGGGAAATTCTGCAGAGAGAAGAAACTGCAAGCATCAGAGAAGCGAGAGAGCACAGAAGGCTTGAAACACGGTACATTCATTAGGAAACAGGCTTCCAGGAAAAATAATCCAAATTTCAAGGACAATACTATGGCTACAGCCCCCTAGGAACAGACTGGCACAGCTAATTAAACAGCAGAGCAGGGTGCATTTCAACAAATGCTAGAAAACTAATTGCTGGAGGGGAGAAATAGCTACCGGGGCCTAAAGCTGAGCCCCTGGCCCTTAATCATTTCTAGACAGTCAGTCTGTGTCTAATGTAAGTTGGATGGAAAAGAATCTGATTAGTGTCTGAGCACTGGTCAGCATTTGAAAAGCTCTGGGTTGAATCCTTAGTACCACAAGAAAACAAACAACTTGCTCTTAAAAATAATGGGCCTGTGAAACGGCTCAGTAGATAAAGGTGTTTGCTAACAAGCCTGATGGCCTAAATGTGATCCCCTGAGATCCACATGGTAGAAGAAGAGAGCTGACTCCCAATTACTGTCCCTGACCGCCACATATACACACATACATGCACAAAGAAAAGGGGGGGGGGATGGAGAGGAGAGGGAGAAAAAGAGTGGGAAAAAGGGAAGAATGGAGGAAGGGAAGGAGGGAGGGAGAAATGTAATTGAAAAAACAAAAAAACAAGGCAGAAGAACCTGGGTTCTGGCCCGGTTTAGCATCAGCTGAGCCCAAGAACCCTGAGAGGCCAGGAAAATTCTGGGGACATTCCAAATAACTCCAAACCTTTGGATGATTCCTATACTTGGAACAACAGTGATAACCCCTAATGAGATCTGATCCCACGAGTTACGGGTAACACAGCACCAGAATGTACCAGGCTAGGGAACAGCCTTAACCAGTGACTACTGGGTCTCCAACTGACCCCTAGTGCCAGCAGTGACAGGAACAGCGAATACATTCTGGTATCTTTGAGGGACTCTCCACAGCCAGCCCTCAGTATCTGTGAGCCACGGACACTCTCAAGGCCCTTTATGTGAAATGACTCAGTGCTTGCCTGTAACTATACTGTTCTCTTGTAATCATCCTTACATTACTTAGAGCACCTCACACAACACTGTAAATAGCTACCATAAACTGCCTTAAGAATAACAGCAAGAACAAATCTGTGCATTCAACATCAACACTCTTTTTACCCATAAGCATTTTTAAGGCACATCTGATTGAATCCATGGAGGTGGAACTGAAAAGCAGTGCAGGATAATTTTATCTACCCCAAAAACCATTGTGATGGCAGGACCAAGTGTTGTTTACCATGAGCTACAGGGGGGGAAAGCAATTCTTTGAAATTTTTTACTAACACATTAAGTCACTTTTGCTGATCTACTACATCCTAGGCCTGGGAAATAACTAAGCTAAGGGCATCTCTCTGCAGATTCCGTTTCTTCCAGCATCTGTTAAATGCCATGGCTTTGAATGTTGAATGTTGGTATGGACACCACCTTCTTCACCACCAATCAGAAGCCAGAGTTCTGAACCTCAAGGAGGGGCTGACAAAGGGAGACCTCAGGGGCAGAAGGTATGAACTAAACTCAACTCTCAGTCCTGATCTTGGCTCTGTCCTCCAGCGTAGTTCCAGCTCTTCCCATGGGCAGAGGGCAATAAGGGCCTCCGGACAGTCTGGAAAATTAATGCACAATTCTCCACAAGTTCTGCTTTGACACAAGGAATTGGAAGTGGACTGGGAATGGGTAAGGAGGGAGTGGGTGATAACCTGTGATGGGCTAACAAAAGTCACAGGACTGGGTGATGGACAGCTGCAGACAAAGCAAGAGTCACAGCCAGCCACCAGCTGAGCAAGCAGAGGGCAGGAGTCCTGCTGACTGAGTGTGTCCAGTGGACCACGTAGCACCTTAACATTCGCTCACTCATTCGTTCATTCATTTATTGGTATCTGTCTATTTATTCTGGGGAGGGGGGGTCAATGTGCAACACCACCTGTGTGGAGGTCAGAGGACAACTTGTAGAGATCATTTTTCTCCTGCCACCATGTGGGTTCCTGGCACAGCCACATCCGCTGAAAAAAGCAAAAGTCACAAAGCCGGCAAAGCTGTTTGAGACAGTTCCAGCAAAGCCAAACGCTGTGATCACTGTCACTCTGTCTCTCACTCTTAGGTTTTTGGTCTCTGTGCGTCGTATTTTTAGGGACTTTCTACATTATGATTCATTTTATGTCTTTTTCTGAGAAAATTAAACTTACTATCCTTTCTGCTTTTAGGGAAATAACTTTATCTGGCCCTATCTGGGAAGGCTTCCTTGTGCTCTGAAGATCATGATAAGCACCATGAGGCCATAACTCCAGGAATCTTCTTGGGGTATTTACCCTTAAGCAAACTCAAACAGTATAATTACTGTAAGATAAACAGACAAAATTGACAAACTCTGACTGGCCAGAAGAATAGGTTACGGATCCAAGGCCTTCTTTTACAACATGCTTAGAGTTCTCTGAAAACATAGTTTAAAGAGAGGGGTTGTTCAGGGCACACCCCTGGAGAAACAGAACTCAGTAAGATAGACTGAATAAACCTTTTCCTACTTTATAGCATAGAGGATGGGACAAAATACTAAAAAGAGTTAGGTGTTAGTATTTATTGTTCATAAAAAGACAGTTCAGATCGTTTCTGTATGTCTGGAGTGATTTAAACTGTAAATACTGCCAGCCTAAAAGCAGGGTGTCATATATAATAATGTGTTCGCTTTGACAGAGACAGTCTTTAAATTCTTTGAATTGGAGTTATAGGGCTAATAATAAAAAGAAAATATGTTCTTTTATATTTTCTAATAATGACTGAACTTATAACCCCAGACATGTAAAGACAAATCAAACACATGCCCAGAGACAAAGTGATACAATCTGTATTTTTGGATAATCATTAGTCTGTCTTTGTTTTGTGAAACCTGTATAAATAAAGAGACAATCTGATTGGCAGTCAGTCGGAGCTGCAAAATTCCCGATACCATGTCTGACTCACTTCTCCCTCCTTGACTCCTTATCTCCTGTCAAAGGCCAGGAGTTGGGCCCCCACAGGTTCCTAAAATTAAATACAGGCCATCATACTTGGCAGCAAGCATCTTTACCTGCTGAGCCATCTCAATGGCTCCTGCTCATCATTTTTCATACATTCTTTCTTGTATTACCTTCACAAAACCTGGGGCATTCACTTCAGAACATACACATTTCTAGCTAGCTGATCCTTAATCAAATCCCTAATCTAGGCACAGCTCAAAACATATAAGCATTTGGTGGGAAGAAGTGACACCCTGATCTGGTGGCCCAGCAGAAGGGACAGAGAAGGGTTTATATGTGGAACCGGAGAAGTAAACAGTCTCCTAGGCTGCAGACAAAAGGCAATACTAGCACTTCTGATACCAGAAACACGTTCTGCAACAGAGAACACTTGAGGAAGCTCAATACTAACCGTCCTCTGTGTCGGGTGTTCTTGGGAGGGGCCTTTGCCTTTGGGCTCGGCACATCTCCATTTTCAGAGGGTGTGGTGTGGTCCTTCACAGGTCCTGGCAGTGGTGCTGGCTCGTGAATAATCAGTATGTCATCTTTGTTTTGCTGACCCAAATGCTGCTTAGCAAAATCGAAGCCTTTCACACTGGGAATCTGCAGCTAAAACACAAACAAACAAGATGGTTAGCATGAGGTCTGAGGGTGACAAGACACTATGAGGAGGACCAGGGGAGCATGACCCCTGACCCAAGACTGCCCGAAAAAACCACCAAACCAATCAGCTCCCAGGTTCTGTTTATACTTAGAATTCATCACAGACGCTCATGAAAACGTAAACAATACAAGGATCAAAAAGCAAGACCACAATACAAAATCCGTGCCAACAGGTCACCTGCTCCACTGTCACAGACCTGTGAAGTAAGCTATTCTTTATAGGGAAAGGGGGACTTCCAGGCCGAAACCGTAAGGCTTTAGAGAGCCTTTTGCTGCAGATCAAATTGTGAGATGAACAGAGACTATGGGAGGCCTAGCAGAGATTACATTGGCTATACTAACAGGGCTGAAGGCAGTAGCAAGACCAAGAGAGAAGCCAGGCCGCACATATATCATTCCAAATGGCAGCCTTTAAAGTCAACCTCTGGATACTCAGCGTTTACTTCTAAACAGGCAAATTTTTAGAATCTAAGCGACCAAGCACAAAGCCCCAGTGATAAAATGGTCATGAAATCAGGGCCATCTGCCCAGAGCCCAGCAAAGAAAACAGGAATAAAGGAATCAGTGGCAGGGAGAAGCAAGCAGGCAGAAGAAACCAAAGGAGAACAGCCTGAGGCAGCACATCCCCAACATGGAGGAGACATTACGGTGTGTCCTAAAGGAGCAAAGTTTCCAGGACATAAAACAACACTCTTCCCTTTCAACATGATTAGTTTAAAAGACAGAAGACATCTCAAAGGGAAGCAGCTTCAGGGAGCTGGAGACAGGACAGCAGCCTAGACACTGTCTGAGAGGTGGCGTTGACAGTCATCTGTCCAGTGACGTTTGGGCATGCACGGAGAGTCTTTGTTAAGAGAACATCTAACAGGTTGGAACTGGGGAGAAGAAAAGGAAGCATGAAAGAAAGCAGGAGACTTCAAAGAAACAGACCCATCTGAAAGATCAGTGTACTAGAAACCAAAGAGACAAAGTGTCTCTAGAAAGCAGTGGTCCACGGCAGACACGTCCTCGGAGACAGCCTGTACTCACTGGTGGGCACAGGTGTTCTCTATGGGGACACTAGTGCACCCTAACCACACCTAAAATCAGACCTTGGGAACTGCCCCTCCTCTAGCTAGGCCTTAGCTTCTGAGCCGATGGGGAGAGATTGCACAGTACCACCTCTGTGACATTTTTAGGACATTGCAAAGGCCAAGGGTGGGTATTCCTTAAATCCAGACTGCAGAGTATAGGAATATGGAAGTTCATGGAAAAAGCACTTCTGAGGGGCTAGAGAGAGGGCTCAGTGGTTCCAGAGGACCGAGGTTTGCTTCCCAGCACCTACATGTTGGCTCACAACTGCCTGCTAATTCCAGTTCTAGGGATCCAATGTCCTCTTCTGACTTCTGTGGGCACCAGGAACACATATGGTGCACATACAAACATACAAGCAAAGCATTTATACACATAAACATTTAAAATTTACTTAGAAAGAGAAGATACTGTTCAGAGGGGTCTGTTCATTAGGAATGCTGCTTGACCCTATCTCGGTCCTAAGGAATACTTTCACACAAAGTAGGATGCGTGGGGCAGAAGGTGATGTCATCATGCTTTACTTTATGCCTCAAAAGTGACCCTACTGGCTTAGAGGTTTGTGACCTACAGTCTTTTAACACAACATCCAGATGGGGAAGAAGAAGGCAGGCTGCAATAATGCCTTACGCCAGCAGAGGGAGACAAATGGTACTGTAAGGCTATTTCACAAAGAGTTGCTTGGAAACAAAAGGCAGAGCAGCTGGCAGCCACATTCTCTAATTAATGAGCTTCCTTTACTAGAGCAGGCCTCTGTTCCTTGTGCCCTGGACTCAGGAACACCACATGGGAAAAGTCAAATGCAAGACTGCCTTTCCTCAACTGGTCTCCTTGAAGGTGGCTGAACCTTTCCTAGTAGCAGAGGCCCCCCTCTTCCACACCCCTCTAACAGTCCTGTTGGCCCTTATAGAAGAGAATCCTGGACTCTTATGAACACAGCAGCTTCCTCGAGTGCTCTGTACAGAGAATAGAAGCCTCTGGGACATCAAATAATGACTCAAAGCGCTGCCCAGACCCTTTTCATCAAAGCACAATAAACCTGGAGATGCCTTCCTGTTTCCCTATCTTAAATGTATTCCCTTTGTGTGTGCATGCATGTGTGTAGTGAACATTCATGTGTGCATGCGTGTATGTATACATGCATGTGAGTGTGTGAGCATTCATGTATACATATGTGTGGAGGTCAAAAATCAGACTGCCTGTGTGTATGTGTACCACCTGCATGCCTGGTGCCATGGAGGTCAAGAGAACATCAGATCCCTAGAACTGGAGTTACGTTACCATGTGGGTGTTGAGAACTGAGCCCGGGTTCTCTGCAGCAGCAAGTGCTCTTAACCATCAGGCTATCTCCCAAGCATCACACCTTGTTTTTCCTAAGACAGGGTCTCCCACTGGTACGTAGGATCACTGATTCAGCTAGGCTGGCTGGCCATCAATCCCTAAAGATTCATCGGGACCCACCTCCCTGGTGCTGGGATTCCAAGTGTATACATGATGCCTGGTTTTTTACACGAATGCTGGGAGTTCAAATGCACGCTCTCACACTTAGGCTGAAGGCACTTTTTAACTGCTGATCTATCTCCCAGCCCTTAGGTCCACCAATTTTTGTTTGTGTTTGTTTGGGTGTGTGTTCAAGTGTGGTGTGTGTGTGCTCAAATGTGAGTGCAGAGTCCCACAGAAGCCAGAAAACAGTGTTAGAGTCTGCTCAAGTTAGAGGTAGCTATAAGCCATCCAACATGGGTGCTGGGAACCAAACTCTGGTCCTCTGCAAGAGCAGACAGCATTCTTAACTACTGAGCCATCTCCCCAGGCATGCATCTCCCCAGCACATGCATTTCTTTAATGGAGAATTTCACACTGGGATGCTGTGAATACACATTATGCAGAGGAAACAGCATAAAGAGTAGGGCTCTTTCTATTTAACATCATCTCTACCTCCTTCAGATACCTCCCTCCTGCAAAGAATCAGTGAGAACAAAGCAAGGAGGGTGCCAGTGGGACATCCTGCAGGGCTCTGTGCTCTGTCTGTTCAGCTTAGAAGCAGCATGCTCACAATCTGCACAGTGGCCCCGGAAACACAAGTGTGTGCTGAAGTGAACCTTGGCCACAAGACGACCATCCTCCATGACCCAAGACCTTGTAGCACCAAGTTCTCAGCTTGGCCTTTTGTTGTTATTTGTTCTTTTTATGTTAGGTTGGTTTTGTTTTGTTTTTCAAGACAGAGTTTCTCTGTGTAAGCTTGGCTGTCCCGGATTCACTTTGTAGACCAGGCTGGCTTCGAACTCACAGAGATCTGCCTGCCTCTGCCTGCCGGAGTGCTGGGATTACAGGTGTGCACCACTGCACGCAGCTGGTTTTCTTGAACCTTTATCCATTCCTGCAGGAAGCTTCCATCAGCTTCTTTCAGTCAGTGGACACCAACACTGTCTTCCAGTCACCTGGCCCCATGCTTGGTGAGTGTCCGCCAGGAGCGCCCTTTGCTCATTTATCTGTTGTCCTTCTACACATACGAGATTAGCTGTAGAGCAACACACATGGACTTAAGCATAAATAATGTACTTAAGGGGCCTAAGAGATGGTTGAGAGCTTAACATCAGTGATAGCTTTTGTAGAAGACCTGAGTTCAATTCCCAGCACCCACACAGCGGCTTACAACCATCTGTAACACCAAATTCCAGGGGACCTACACCCCTCCTCTGACTTTCAAAGGATCCTCCATGAATGTGGTACACATGTACACACTTAGGCACACAAAAATGCACCCAGGCACACACACATATATACACACAAGTATCTTTTTAAAATAACATACTTAACAGCAATTAGCAAGATGCCCTTCATAAGCCTCACACTTGCTAGCTCAATAGTTTTTCATCTTTTTAAAGTACCACAATGATTCAGTTGAGCATCTGGATGTATATGGGTAGAAGAAAAATTAGGTAACTCCTGAACCAAAAAACAAACAAAAATAAAAATAAAAAACTCCATTATTTTATATTATTAGGATGGGTCCCTGTCTTTCAGACTTAGCTATGCTGCTCTAACTTAGGAAACATGTAATTATAAATATTATTTTCATCTTAAAATTGCAAACCTACCTATCCACATAATTCCTAAGTGTCTATTTGCCAAGCCTTTTTAAGATGCCTAGAAAATTGACAATTTGGCACCAATTACTTCCAGCTAATGAGGAAAATCCCCAAATGAGCAATTTCCATTTTTATACATATGTTTTCCTGCAAGCTACACAGTTTTTCAGCTTTACAAACAAGTGAAGAAGCCACAGATACAACAATGGCCACCTGGGCAGCATGGCCTTGAGCTAAGAAACTGTGCTGAACTCTGTGTTGGTACACATCCCAGCAGGAAAGCACAAGCCTCAAAGAACTGGGCGGCGACCACAGTTACCCAGTAAGGGTCTGCTTTAGTCAAAATGAAGGCGTGAGAGACTGTCCTCTAAGCAGAGGCCTCTGAAAGACCTGATGTCAAAACATAAACAGCACTGGCCTCTGTAGCAGCATCCTCATAGGCTATGGCCAAGCAGTAACTGCCTCCTCTGAGAGAATGGCACGGCTCAGGTCAGACACAAACATGGCAATACATGTAAAAGTGCTTTAAAAATGCCAAGGCTATGCAAATGAGATTGATAGCACTCTCACTGCTACTGGTTGATGAAATGCCGTTTAGTAAATAAATATAAACGCGGAGCCTTCAGGACATCAGCTATAGCAATATGTGGAAGCTTAAATAAAATACATCGTGAGTAGCAATGTGACACACAGTAGATGCTCCATAAACATCTAACGCCTGAATGAGATACAAGAAAACTGACATTCCAAACTTACTAGGGTGATGAACCAAGACTCAATGCAAGA